TAAAATGTCATTTTACGCGGCCTACTCCTAGAAAACTAGAGTAGCGATCAAGGTTCTAATAGTTTTTCTGTATTTACTGGATTGGTGAGAGTGTCTTTGGCTATATAAAAACATGGCCTCGCTTCTTTGAAAACAAAATAACGAACCATCAAAAACCCAATTTTGTTCGATTTTTGTCAAATTTTTTCCCAATGTTTACTATTCCATTTTATGAAATAACGATCAGCTGTTTGGATTAGTTCTCACTTCTAGCTGTCACTGATATGTTTACATTAAAAGTTGTTTACAAATACCGCAGCCATTTTCGATCAAGTTTAGTCAGCACATTAGTGAGACCAAACCAAGTGAGATTAAAAACGTTGTGCCTTACTTAACCGGTTTAATTAATCGCAAGTGCAACGATTGTTCTTGAGTTTTGATAACCGGGGAAAATACCGAGAATCAGTGTTGTATTAGTGCAAGGAAACTTACATTTTTTTAATCATCGGCACCAATACCGTAGCTTACAAAGGTTTCCACTCATTGACGGCGCTTTAAGGACAGTTGTGTAAAGTGCAAAGTAAAAAATCAGAACTGCAGTGGGTGATAGTGGATGTTGCTCAGTGCCGGATTTAGGGTACTTGCGGCCCTAGGCCAAATTACTTGAGCGGCCCTCCCCCTGTGGTGGAAATTCCTTGAGATAGCGGAAGTAATCGTGAATATCTCCTATGCATCTAGATTCTAGAGGACATCATTATCGACACCCGTGATCGTGGACATCTCTCCTAAACCAAGACAAATCCATCATAGGTATCCGTGACCACGGCAAAATCGTAAACATCCCCCGCGGGCTGCAACAAAGGGACATAATCCTCAACAGTCACAACCGCGGCGAAATCATATCCCGTGGGCCTTGAGCTTGAGGACATCACCGTCACCCGCGACCACAGTTAAATCGTGAACATCTCCCGGGGGCCACAATCACGGGGACATCATCATCGACACTCGCGACCGTGGCCAAATCGTAGACATCTCCCGCGAAGCAGCAATCACGGGGACATCATCATCGACACTTGCGATCGCGGCAAAGTCGTGTTAAAAACATCTCCGGTGGACTGCGATCATGACGACATCATAATTGTCCCCCGCGGTCGTGCCGAAATCGTAAACAACTCCCGTGAGCCGCAATCACGGGGACAACATCATCGACACTCGTGACAGCGGCTAATTCTTGAACGTCTCTCGCGGGCTGCGACCATGAGGACACATCGCCGTCACCCGCGGCCGCGGCTAAATCGTGAACGTCTCCCGTGGGCCACAATCATAGGGACATCATCATTGACAACTCGCGACAGCGTCTAATTCTTGAACGTCTCCCGCGGGCTGCGATCATGAGGACACATCGCCGTCACCACAGAAAACATACTACAGTAATATAACCTTATACTATAAGGTTATAGTAGTATGTTTTCTGTGCCGTCACCCGCGGCCGTGGCAAAATCGTGAACATCTCCCTTGGTCCGCGGAGACATCATTATGGTCACCTGTGATCGCTGCAAACTGGTGGTAAAAAAAATATTTTTTATCTAAAAAATGTTTTTCTCAATCCTCTGCGGCCCCCTTCTGCTTGCGGCCCTAGGCCGCGGCCTAATCGGCCTAGTGGTAAATCCGGCACTGATGTTGCTGCGATTTTGGAAGATCTGTCTGATTTCGCTGTGATCGTACCGTAACGGAGGTTAAACTTAACAGATGTAGCTAAACTCGCTTTTCCAATGTGTCACTTTTGGTTTCTACTTACTTACATTTCGACAACGATATCGGTACTTTTTCTACTTAGGAAATAAAACTACAAACGTACAAAACCGCAGATTTGTGCGTTTTTTTTCACATTTCCTCCGAATGTTTGCTAGATATATATGTACCTACCGATTATCGTTTAGAGATTACGTAATCTTTTAAATGAAAAACCTTTGTTTGGATAAAGGTGGTTTCTTCAAACTGCCATTAATATGTTAACATTAAAAGCTGCTTACAAATAATGCAATTAATGGAAAATAACTTTGATTTTCGAAAACTTAAAAACAAAATTAAAACCAAAGGAGATTAATAACTTCGGTACTGCACCACATCAAGTGAAAGTTTTTTTTAGCAAACCATAGTGAGTTTTTAAAGCTTTACGTTGTTAATGTTACATGTTACATGTTTTGTGGCCTGTGTATTTATTTATTTATATATTTGCCAACAGATTAATTAACACCTATACAGTTTGATTAGAAGGACAGTTTGAATTAGTCGTAAGTACTACAGTTCTTTTCTCAAATGTAAACGTTGGTTTTTGGTACTGCTACTTTTCCTTAGAACCGGTGGTAGCAGTAAGAATAATTTTTACATACGACCACATCACTATTTTCATTTTCACTATTTATTTATAAACACTGCACCTTATTGCTTATTAAATTTAATTGATGTCTTACTGTATAATTTTTAACGTTTTCTGTCTGGACTCAAAAATATTGTGTGGACTCAATTCTGTATTTGTGTGTGTGTGTCTGTTGGTAACGCATTAATGTCCTTGTGTGTCTGTTGGTAATGCATTAATGTCCTTATTTTTCGTGGAAAAGACAAGAGCACCATTGTTAATAACAATTTCGACCCGAATAAAGTGTGCAGTAGTGAGGTTGAGGTAGTGTTTTAACTACTTTTAACCAGTGTGAAAAGTAACTTTAAATTACAGGCCTATCTTAGGACTATGCCTCATAGATCTATACTGTAAAGCAAATCCTTTCATCGTTTGATATAAAATATGGACTAACACGATCGGGTGACATTTAATTGCGAAGCATTCGTTTTGGCTTTGAAACTGTCAGATATTGTATTTGAGAAGGTTTATATGTGTTCCTAAACAGTTATAGTTTTCATCATATCTGGAAAAATGCACACTAAATATGCAAACCAACTCCTGTTCTGAATATAAGGTTTAAACTTACTACTAGATTCCCGTACGTAGAACGGGCAAACAGCTAGTTTAAAGACTAAAGATGGAAAAAAAGGCAAGTAACCCATAATATTATTTGCACAATCAGTCTTGCCGTCAAAAGTTTTAAGTAGTGTTTTCGGCAACATTTCAGAGTTTTTGGTGGCTATATCAGTTTTGGATCCCCCAAACCCCAAAACGTGGTTTTCCAAGTGATGTCTGCGTGTTTGCGTGCATATGTGGACGTGTTCGTGTACACAGTCGCACACCTGTGGTCCGATTTAGATGAAATCTTGTACGTGGATACTAATTCATGGTATCCAGGTGTTTTTTTTTATTTCTTTGAAATTTAGATTTTTAATTAGAGGTTTTTTTTTCATAAAACTCATAAAATATCAAACATTTAAATTAAAAAAAAACTAAAAACTAAATCATTTTGTTTAAAATTTAGTGTGTTATAGACCTTTGGATTTGAAAAAAATAGTATAACCCCCCCCCCCCCCAATCGCTTTAAAAATTACAGTTCGTAATCACAAAACGTTTTTGTGATTTCGCCCCAAAAAACATTGTAGTTAATCCTACCACCCATTTTACAAATTGTTGACAAGCTAATGGGAGAAAGTAACTTATGTGTCAGATTGCTGATGTTTAATATGGGTTTTTATTTAATAAAAACCCAAGTGGAGGAAACAACATCTTTATTTCGATAAAGCCATCTTAAGAGAGAGAGAGCATCTCCAAGAAGAACTTCCCACCCTGAGTCACCTCGCAGGGTGGCAACATGACAAAATTATATATCATAATTAACTTATACGCATATCATATATAACACTTCCCCCTTTAATGCATCTTTTAGCGAATTTCCCATATAGGGAATAAGCTATTACCGTAGGTCTCATGGTAAGACCTAGACCCGGGACCGATTTACTTTTTCGTTTTAAGGTCCCCAGAGGCCAAAAACACCATCCGTTCAAATTCATATATATATATATTTATATATATATATATATATTTATATATGTGTCCGTTAGCGCGATAACTCGAGCAAAATTGATCCGATTTTGATGAAATTTGGTACAAACGTGTGAACCTGCATTTATTCGAACGAGTTCGCGAACCAGCATAATCGGACCATGGGATCAGGGGTTTATGGGGGGTTTTATGGGGTAAAAATGGGTTTTTCTCATTTTTGACCTTAAAAACTTTAAATTTTCTAAATTTCTCTCTAAACCATTTTGAAGAGCTTAAAAAAACAAATAATTTAGTATATTGAAGTGTTTTTGAATGTTCATTGACTACGGAGAAAATAAAAAAAAATGTAAATTTAAAATTCCCATGTTATTCTTATGGAGAATAAATAAACTGTTCTAGTTTGCTTGTTTATGGATATATTTTAATCAAATTTGGCAATTTGGTTTATTTCATACTAAGCTATCAATATTTTAATTGAAAAAACACACCTCAACATCTCCCCCGTAGCAGCAAACCTAACTACTCACTAAAATTAATGTTATAGGAAATAAATCTGAAAATTTATAGGGAATATTTTAGTAGAAATCAAGCCGGGTAAATGGAAATTCGCTTAGTATGCAGGTTTGCTGCGACGGGGGTATTTAAAATTATATTATTATAATAAAATCTGGGAACGTAGGTTCGGGTCCTACCGACTGCGCCATGTTTAATATGTTTTTTTTATTAAATAAAAACCCAAGTGGAGGAAACAACATCTTTATTTCGATAAAGTCATGAGAGAGCATCTCCAAGAAGAACTTCCCACCCTGAGTCACCTCGCAGGGTGGCAACATGACAACATTATATATCATAATTAACTTTTACGCATAGCATATATAACAGCTGATACAGTTCATTTTAGCATTGAATGAGACGCTGCAAACCAGTCACTAAATCTTTGTTCACATAACTATTTCATCGAGTCAGTAGGCTAAAGTGTTGCATAGGGAGGTATTTTTTTCCACACTACTTTGTTTTTAAATGGCCTTTCCACACATGGATTTAGTCCAAAAGAACAGTAGTTTGCTACCTGCAATCAAAGAGATTTCATTTTCATTAGTACTACCAGAACCACAAAACCACAGAGAAGTAATAAGTTCCTAGAGGAAAGATTGGTACACTTAAGTGGTGTGTAGTACCACGGCCACCTTTAACTCCAGGCCGCGGCCTAGTAGAATCGGCAAGATAACATGGCAGACAGGTCACACCAGCTCATTAATTCGTATATTATTCTTTAAAATTTTAATTTATGAACATAAATTTATTGAAAGATTGAAAATAAAACATATCGAATTAAAAACCAAAACAGTATTTAAATTGAAAATCTATTTTTGTACATTTAAAGTGGAGTACATATTTTCATAGCCCAGTAACCAAGCTCATATTCTTAAAAACATACACAAATACCATTAGCTGCCTCCAAACAAAACAACAGCTGTTACAACCCTACTTGCGATGTTGCTATTTTGAAGGCCGGCCTGGAGTTAAAGACGCCCTTGGTAGTACTAGTTGCTTGTGTCTAGGACAAAGCCCACCCCCCTCGTCCTCATGTATTACAATGTTTTTATGGTTTTACCATAGACAAAACATACTCCCTTAGTAGATTTCCCATCCTTATGGAACATCTGAAGCCAATTTTATCGTTAGTTCTGTCCGGTGCACTGTAGATGTCGTGTTTTGTGGGTGGAGTTTGGAGTTCATAATGGTTACCCAACGCTTCCTAATGCGTGCTCTTAGAGAATTCTTACTTTATGCCATAACTTGCAGCCTGGTTTGTCAGAGCTTACACCTCCCTAAAAAAAAAGCGTTGATGAATAGTGAATGCCGAACGGAATGAATTAACAAATTCGCTACCGATTCCCACAGACCGAGGTATACATTTTAATATTACACATAGACCCCCGATAAATCCCCCACACACTGTCGAGCATGTTGCTAAACAAGTCGGGTATAGATTCAGTTTTGAGATGGATTTCGTGACTACTGTAGCTGAATGTGCTGGATTTTTGTATTTGAAATGTAAAAAGAAGAAAATAGTTAGTGTTGGTCAAAACAGTGGTTGTTATAGCCAAATAACATTGTTCTACAGTAGTCACATTTAGTCTGGGCGCGTGGCCGCGCTAGGGCACGGGGTGTTGGGGAAGTGTCTTTTGCTCATTTCCAAAAACATTAGGCCCACACGGCTCTGGGGTTGTTCAGCTGTCTTCATGGCTAGGTGAGGTGGAGGGTGGTGGGTAAAGTGTACACAGGACGGCTAGTAGAGACAGAGCCACATGCCCAGACTGCTTGCGCGTACTCTACTAGGCTGCGGCCTGGAGTTAAAAGTGGTGTGGACGCAAGTATGCGACTTCAGTCTATGGTTAAAAACCGGTGTGCGTCGCTGTTATATTATATGAATGAAAAATTGAGTACTATTGCGTTTGCAAATGTGGTTAAGGATATACCCGTGATTTGAAACACTGAACTAGGAAAACAACACATAATTGTGAAAATAAGAGATGATTCTGATATGTTTATACTCAGCCATAGGAACCAAGCTTAACATCAAAACTTCAATAGAAAAAGGGTGCAATAACCACATGAAATTCACAGTGGCATAATTTATTTACATTTATAACTTGAAATTATACACAGCAATTTATAAACTTTTAACATCATCAGAGTATCCAGCAATTTTCAACTGTAATATTTTATAAAATACAAACAACAACATTAACAAATAGACACTTATAATAACGTGGGTATATATACAACAGTAAGGATAACTGTACAGTTAATACATAAACTTATATGGCCACAAAATTTACCACCCTATATTTTCATGGCGAAAACGACAAGAGAAAACAATAAATTATAAAATCGAGACTAAAATAACAATATGGCAACGTAATTGTAAATAAACTAAAACTTACAAAAACTATCGACAACTAAATATTTACATGACTTACACTACTTTTATCACAAAATCCCCAAAGTCGGTTATTTAAATAACTTGGGGGTTAACTATCGTACCTGTATTTGAAAGGGAATGCAAACGACTTTGTAGCAAAATTAGTTCTCTCGACTCTAGCAGTCGAGAAAACAGCAACTTGTGTTGAAATGATTAATATAAAAATATATTATCAGTACAATTGCACATGATCGGCTTTCACTTTTTGAGACACTTAGGATATATAACAGTCTTTTATACTTAGCATCCAGGTTTAAGGGGGAAATATAAAATTAAATTTAAAATATTGTAAAAGGTGAGAAAACGTTTAATCCCAGAGAGAAATGTAAGAAAACCATTGAAGGTTAATATTCCAGTTTGTGGGGGCTTTTTTACGACAAGAAATATTTTGTTTCAACATTTATTTAATTTAAACTACAGAACTTTTAAGGTTACCTTCAAATCCAAAATAACAATGAACAAATAATTGACACTAGGCACCACTGATATGCTGAAGCCATCTCATATTTTCAACTACATTCAAGGGAACACAAAAGGAAAGTTATTTTAGAGTAAAGTACACTAAACAAATTTTGGGAAAAAACTAAATGAAAAGAAAAGAGTATAAACGTTCATAGCTTTTTAACGTTGATACAGTATTTGTTTAGTTGAAACTATTAAAAACATGAAAAAATAATAGAAAACTGAATCGTTAAAGTACAAAGATGTCACTATCCGCAAAATATAGCGATAAAGGGGAAAATTCTAACTATATAGCACCGACATTGTTAAAAAGGTAATCAGAAGTACAAGCAACAAGAAAAATAAAGATAAATGTATTATCCATAAAAAATAACAAAATTGAAATATAAATTGTACAAATAACAAAGAGAAGATATAGAATCACAATATCGACATAACATTTTAGAATAATTTTAGACCAATCACAACAAAATATAAACAATCATACTTTACATGTATCACAACATAAATTTTTACAATGCTTACTTTGAACTAAAAAATAAATACAATATTACATTTGTATAACGTAATACAGTTTTAAGATTGTATAGTCCAAACAGGCACTTGATATAGTGAACATTTTACAAAACTTCGACAAAAGCAATGAAAACATAAACAGTAAGGTCAAAACTGGTTGTTTAAGTGTTGTATACTTTATTTAGTGCTTAGTGACCGAACTAAGTTCTAAATTTTATTAGATAATAATCCTTGAAAGTAGAAGGAAAAGATACAAAAAGAAAACAATGATGGTTTTGTACATTTACAATCATTATTTTATAAGTAAATGAGACCATTAAATGATTGTAAAACCAGTGTAAAATCTCACCGTTATAAAAAATGGGGTTTTACAGACCTTACAGTTCATGCATTCATTGACTATATTGAAAAATAAGGCCTCTGAAAAGCGATCGCACCATTCCAAAAATTGACAAAACTTAACACTAGGCTCAAGATATCACAATTGCTGGCGACTGACTTATATCAGTCCCGCGACGTACAAATCCATAAAGCACCAAACACTCACAATCTTTACAAGATCTTTCTCAGTAGTATTACAGTTTTACTTGATTGATACCCAAAAATATTGTTATCCTCAAAATTCAAATGTTCCTCTTTTTTGTAGATTACTTAAAAATATTATTAGTAAATTTATAGAATTAGTTGTACCTGAATCTATTATCTACACACTAACAGAACAAACTGTTATCTACATACAAAAATTTAGTACAAATTCATATACAGTAGACTCACGCTCATCCGGATCGGCCTTGTCCTTACTTTCGCTAGTCCGGATCGGCAATCGTGATTTTTTTGCGGCACAGTACAGTAGTAGTCCGATTATCTGAGCTAAACGGGACCGAGACTACCTCGGATAATCAAAAACTGGGATAACACGACAGTAAAACTTATTACCGGTGGAACTGCATTTCCCCAGCTATCAATACTGTGGACCTGGAACAAAATTGAAATAACGGCTATATACAGTACTGTATTTGCTCGTCTCTCGATAGTCCGGATTTTTCGCACCGTACCGGACGTCCGCCACATTAGTCCGGATGGGCGAGAGTCTACTGTATATGAAAAAATATTTTATGCTGATCGAACATTGAACCAATATATAAATATTTTGTTTTCCTTCAAAGCATGTACTGTACTAATTAAAACACCAACTGCTCAATAAATGAGTGAAAATGAGCAAAGTTGTTTGGTTAAAAGCAAGACTTGTTTGCATAAAAAATCAACCACAAAAACAGCACTCAAGAAACACACAGATGAAATTAAACAAATTTCACCCTAAGCGCTTATGCAATCCCCGATTATCATTTCACCATAAATCATATATTTTGGTGAACAAAACAAGAAAAAAACTAAAAGAAACTATGATTTAGACATATTTATGTAGGCCTAAGATAAATTTGATTTTTTTAAATCAAATTGGCCAATCCTGAATTCAGAGTTTATTACATCTCAAATTAAATTTCTGATCATTGTGGACATACCTCGCTCCACTATTCTACATCTGCATTTAAATTCTTCAATATTTCTACTGTCTCGGTTATAAAACAATTTACTCCTGATAAATTTTCTTTTGACAGTAGAGTCTCAATTAAGCGACTTCGGTTATACGACCTTCTTTATACCTGTGGACGATTAAAGACTGTGAAATCACATGTTTTTTTTAGTGGTAAGGTACACAATCGGGAGAGTGTCAAAACGATTCCTTTCCTTGCTCCTGAATGTATTCGGGAAATGAGCACCATGCTTTAGAGAACTGTGCTTGACTGTACTTTCTTATTGTTTTGGCGTACTGCACAACACAATTATATATGATTGACAACCCTGTATACAAGGTGAACAACCCAACTGTGCCACCATTGGTATCTCAAAAACTGTTGGATTTAGAGATAAGAATTAAAACGAGAACTTAAACTATTTTCCTATAACATTAAAAAGATGAATTGCAATTTAAAAAAAAAAATTTTTTTGGGACACCTTGTATTTTATGTTTCTGTGTAGGAATAGTTAGTAGTTAGCGAAAGATAAAATTAAAACCTCAAATCGGTTTTACAACGTAGAAATTTTTTTCATTTCAATGTGTATCCAGCTTTTAGTATTTTCTGATACCGGTTTTAGGTCGAATTATTGAGACTCAACCGTTGCTTAGCTTGACAAACTCTACATACATTTCCGACTAGACAATGACCCACTACATGTGTAGCTCCCCGGGTCATACAATACTCTCCTTCTCCGCCTGCATCTCCGTGTAGGTACAGTTCTTGCGGAGGTTCAAGTCACTGCGACACCCGTTGTTGTTGAACAGTCCGAACAGCCACGAGCGGATGGACGAGCGAGTGATGATCTTCTTGGAGGCGGAGACGTTGTCAAGTGGCATGTCCTCCAATGAGTGCCATCGCTTGTGGTCCAGAAGAGGATCGCACACTAGACCTCCGTTGCCAACCACTCGCTCTCCATTGGGCCCGTTACAGGTCATCAGGTTGTTTTCCTAGGGAATCACAATGTTGGTTACTTTGTGTGAAATCCTTGATAGAAGGTTTAAAGTACTTAATTTCAGTAGAACTCAAATTATCCGAACCTCGATCATCTGGATCGCCAATCCAAACCATCTCAAGACAAAAAAGATTTTAACAAATTTGGCCCGAAAAATTAAGTTTGACGTTTCCAGTAATCGGGTTAAGTATTTGCACCAATCGTGTCCATCATACGACGAGACTATTGTATTGTTGTACTGATTAGCCGGCGATGAGCGTATCCAAAACGGGCAAAAGTGTAAATAAAGTCAACATTGTACATAAGGATGGAGTAAAAAAAAAAATAACATATATTATAAGACATATCAATATTGATATCTTACACTAGACGCTTATTACAGGAAAGGGGAGTATATCTTGGAAATCTAAAATATGAAATGTACAAAAGACTATAAAATAATTGAAAACCCAAACAGTAAACTAACATTAATCCAACTAATCAAATACTATGTCATTTATGAAAAAAATAAATTATCTTAGTACAGTAGACTCCCTCTTACCCGGACTCCTCGGGACCAATGCCAGTCTGGATAACGGGTTTTCTGGTTAAATCAAATCAAATCATTCTTTATTTTTTAGTTTCGTTAAGAATAATACAATGGCGTCAATAAAAATACAATAATATAACTTAAAACTAGTAGGCTACAAGTTTTTTTTTTTTTTACAATGTCATGAAAAATTTACTTCAAGGTAATGATTCAGATCGGATTCAAGGAATTCCTTCAAGGAGTAGGCAGGTCTGTCTATCAGCCACTTGTGAAGTTGTGTTTTCAGCGGTTTTCCCTTCAGTGACTTCAGTGATGGTGGTAGGCTATTGTGGACTTTGCGGCCAGTGTAGGATGGTTTTCTGGCGTACTGCGTGGTATGATGTACTGGCAGAATGAAGTCGTTTCCTCGCCTGGTGTTGTAAGCGTGAAAATTTGCACTTTTTGGCAGATCAGACTCACTCACTAGAAGGACTACTGCTTTGATGTAAAGATTTACAACAGTTAAGAATACCAAGCGATCTGAAAGCTTCCCTGCAGCTGCCTCAGGGTTGAAGGTTGGCAAGTATACGTATGGCTTTTTCCTGCAGCTTCAATACTCTGTTAAGGTTGCTTTCAGCAGTCCCGTCCCAGACAACAAGACCATATTGTATATGCTACTCCATTAAAGCATGGTACGCTGTTTTTGCTGATAATAAATCACCAATCCATCTAATTCTTCTCACCACGTATACACCAGTTCTGAGTTTCTTACAAAGATCATCGATGTGATTGTTCCAGGTAAGGCCAGTATCTAGTGTAATTCCTAATAATTTGAAATTTTGTACAGTTTTCACATCGGTCAGCTATTTGCTCTGTTTTACGGCTGAAATTAATTCGAACAGTTTTTGTATGGTTGAGGGCCAGATCGTTTTGTTTGCAGTAGATTTTTGCTCTGGTGAGTGTGGTGAGAGAGTCTGTGTTCAGCTGTTCTGCACTGTTGTTGTGTAAGAGGATAGTAGTATCGTCTGCGTACATGATACATTCAGACGTACTGTTTTCCTTGATCATGCTAGGGAAGTCATTTGTAAATAGAACATACAAGACAGGGCCAAGCACAGACCCTTGTGGTACTCCTCTCTTGACCGGCTGTGGCTCTGATATGTATGTTTTCTTCATTCCATTGGATGATTCTTGAGTTTCGACAACCTGCGTTCGTCCGTGAAGGTAGTTAGCAAACCATGCATTTGCCCTGCCTTTAATTCCCAGGGATGCTAGTTTTCTTGTGATTAGCTTGTGGCCCAGACAATCAAATGCCTTGCTGTAGTCAAGCATTACTGCTGAGGCATGTTTGCGTTCTTCTAGCTGGTCGATGATGAACTCGACAATATTTGTAACTGCACTTGATGTGGACCTTCCCTTAATGAATCCATGTTGGTTTTGGCTGATGAGTTTTTCTTCTGCAAAAAAAGCCATTAATTGGGTTAGAACAATTTTTTCAATTACTTTGGAGAATACGGATATGAGTGAAATAGGGCGGTAGTTTTCAACATCTGTAGCAGAGCCTTTTTCGTGTTTAGGGTATATTTTTGAGATCTTCAGCAAGGATGGGAACTGGCTTAGCGAAAAAGATTTATTGATGATAGTTGCTAACGGAATCACAAGTTGATTTGCACAGTGTTTTACAGCTTTAGCTGGGATCTCGTCAATTCCACACGATAGCTTGGGTTTTAAGTAGAGGTGGGCCGATACCGATACTCGATACCAAAATACTCTCGATACCAGCGGTATCGAGGTATCGTCGATACTCGATACTTGCCTGTTTTGGGTTCGATACCGATACTGACACTGAACCACTGAATGCTATGAATCTTCAGTCAGAGCGCCGAGCGGGTAAATTGCCGTTGCCGTTACGAATCCTAGCTGTTTGCCTACTTATTAAATACACTCGCAACTCGAGTCGAGTAGTAGAGGTTAAGCCAATTTTGTTGATATTTGACAAGTAAATAATAAGAAAGGAAAATGTTTGAGTTTTATTTAATCCCTTAACCCCTTTCAATATTGACATACTAGGCCTAATAATAATCGGCAACCTAGACATCGCTTGCGTCATCCATTTCACTGACAGCGACAGCTGACACTGGGTGATAGTGATAGGTAGTGGTGTGCAGCGAGGGCGATGCATTGAAATTTCAATTCGATTCTAAAAAGGGATGTGTCGATTATCGTCATCGATACCACCATCCATTGGTTACCACTTGGACATTGGTATCGGTTCGGTACCAAGACTCGATTGTCAAAAGTCGATTCCGATGAAACCGACACCCGATTTTCATAGCCAACTTAGAAACTATCTAGTTCAAAACAGCGACGGTGCCGGTGACATTGTTTAGCTTCAGCTCATTGCACAACACAATCTACATTTCAAGATGTCAGACTCAACTCACTAGACAACCGGCGCGTGAATGTCCTGCCAACACGAAATTAATTATACTAAACAATGTCTGTATCAATAAGTCAGACATTTAGATGTATTATTTTTATTTTTAGTACAAAATAAATAACCTAAACACGTCGAAATGTTCAGTTTCCTCCCTGCATTATACGCATCATTAGAAAAATTATACTCAACGATTAAACTTTAACATCGTCATCGTCGTATGGTTAGGCTTGCTTTATATTGCGCCAAAAAGTAGGTCCATATTTATCTGTACTATCTACCTGATTAAAGAGTTTAGTGAAGTTTTAAGTGCTACTATGACACAATGCATTTATTGAAAAATATCATAAGCCTTAGTCCATGTAGATTTTGTAATGTTATAAGAAATGGTGAATGTTGACAATAAAAGTATGTAACAAAAGTTCTCATTGGCCAGGAGGCGACAATGCATTACCATGTCAGCCAATCGACTTACGTGTTTCAATGGGGCAAATGACGGTTGCTTAGACATCGTTTTATGTGCTTACTGCTTATTGTGGGTGGGAAGGGTATCGGTAATTTATCGTGATTCGAGATCCAATATGTAGTACGTGTTCGTTTATGCATAATGAGTATTAAAGTATAAAAAAACTAGGTTAGTTACAGACAGGTTCAAAACATCGATTGTTCCGATCCATGTTTGACACCCCTACACGGAAGTTGTAGTGACGTCGTGCATAAGGGCCAGGAGGCCGGTTCACAGTGAATCCACTCTGCCGAACCTATACTCTTGGTATCATCGGGAACATAGTCAAACACTTTTGTTACTAAATAAAACTATGACATGTTTTCATGTTTTATAAAAGCACTCTTTTGGAGATTCTAGTCCCAAAACATAATCTCAATTGTAGGCTAAAAGTAAAACTTATCTATTGCCATACTTTTCTTCACATACGTCTACTTATTCTACAATCTCTTTAAAAAATACCAGGTTTCAGTCAAAATACTTTTGTAAAAATTGACAGTGTGCTGTTTGAACACAGTCATTGCTTGACCATGATCGTTTTACTCACTATAGAGAAAATACTCTCCTTACAAAAAGTATTTATAGGCCAAGATGTATGTAGTTTTTTTAAAAGTATAACTGCAATTAATTGCTTTTAAAAATAAATACAAAAACTGTCAAATGACTTAGATTAATACTTGTAGGCCTAAGCCTATTTATAAATTAGAGGAAACTTTATTAGATCTCATCACAGTAAAATTCAAACATTTACAGTGTTTTAAAATAATTAACACTCAGAAACGTTTGTGTAATGGAACTCTGCAAGCGACTGACGCCGAGGGTGAGGGAGGGCATGTGAACCAGGCTTTAGAGCAAACTTTCTCTTTTCTTACCCCATGTCCCGTTAGACGGTGGGCGGGGCTTCACACTAAATAAACACTCAGTTCATTCATTCACAGTAGAGAATAGTTTTTGTGGCAGTGACGTATGTCTCTTGTCTGCTCTTCATAGCTCACACGTAGATTTCTTTCGAGAAATTATAAGTGATAATCTTTATTTAAAATAAGTGAAAACTGTTGACATTTTCAAGGAAGAAAAGTTAAGAAATAAAAGTGTTAAAAATAAAAAGGTTGTTTGATTAGTTATTCTGTATTTCAAAAATATCCTCATTTATGAACGTGTTTTCAGCTAGACTTGGTGACTTTTTCATAGTTAAACAAATTTTGAAGATATATAACTGTTTTTCATACAACTAGTGAGAAACTCTCATTATATAGGAAGTTCGTTTTTACTCTCTTAGGGGAAAAAAACTTACATAGTATTTGTAGGCCAAGATGTACATAATCTTTTTAAAATTTATAGCTTAATGAGTTAACTAAGACAATTGATGCAATTTCAAATAAATACAAAAACTGACAAATGACAGATAAATAATTATATAAGCCTATTTATAAATTAGAGGAAACTATTAAATCTCATGCTTTAGTCAAATTCAAACATTTACAGTAGGCCTATTTTAAAATAAACACTTAGTTCCATATTTTTGCAATTGTTTTTGCAATTAATAATAAACCTTTAACACCAAAATATAAGTTTTATACACATACATATTGTGTTTTTTTTATGGTATAACAGTTTATAATATTATTAGTGGAAGAAACTGTGCAAAAAAGATAGGTATCGGAAGTATCGGTATCGATAGGTATCGAGAGTACTTTGGTGGTATCGGTATCGGTATCGGTATCGACAGTTTTTGGTATCGGCCCATCTTTAGTTTTAAGGTTTCTATGGCGTCTTTTACATCTCTGATGGTTACGGGTTGAAACTGAAATTGACGTGGGTTTGTATCTATGCATGGTGAGTGATTTGGCTGTTGATTTGTGGTTAGGGTTTTTTCGCCAATCTGAGAGAAGTAGAGGTTGAGATGGTTTGCTATAGTTTTAGGATTTTCTTCCAGCTATCTATCTATTTTTATCTAGTCTATTTTTAGTTGAAATTTGTGTTCCAGTGATTGTTTGGTTTTACGCTCAGAGTTTACGACATTCCACAATGCTTTGGATTTATTTTGTGATCGAGCAATATGGTTGGATATAGCTTTTTGTTGAAGATTTCTCAATTTTAGGTCATAATCTTTTTTTCTAGCAGTCATGATGGCTTTATCAGCAATAGACCCTGAGATCTGAAATGCTTTCAGGGAGTTCAGATAGATCTCTTTTAAGTGACTTGCCTCTTCGTCAAGGTATGCGCTAGGTTTTGTTTTTGTTAAGCCGACGCCCCCAAAAACTCGTTAAAACGGACCGTATACGGTGAGATTCGACTTAAATTTAGGAGAGCATTGTATTTAGATATGTGATTACTGCTCTCAAATCTTTCCCACGAGAACAATTGTTTCAGCACCGGCCATTTCCTGCCGATCTAGTCCGGTTAAAACAATGTGCTGATAAAAATTGTCCGGTTAAAGAGATGTCATTTCCGTCGAGTGTAACCCGGTTAAATTGATGTCCGGTTAAAAGGTGTCCAGATAAGAGGGAGTCTACTGTAATATGAAGAATGGTTGAGGTATTCTGGGACAATCAGCTTAGGTACACCTTGCATATAATGAAGCACCTGACTTAATATAAACACTTGGTATATTTTTTTATCTTAGCATACAAACAAAAATTATGATGCTCCCTGTAGTACTGTATTAAAAATAATAAAGTAATATAATTCCAAATCATTATTGGAATAGTATCATTCCACAACATTGTCCAACAATATGGTCCTTACACTTTGTTTTACAGTATTTACAAATACAACCTTTGAAGCCTTCAAAACATTCTTCCAAATAACAAAAACAACCAAGCAAGTGCGATGATATACTTCACTAACCCTTGATCACCATTTCATGCAAGTTCCAACCCACAACTAAATAGTATATTTACAGTCTTCCTTTATCTAACCAATGTTGATTGAATAGGTTAAGCGAAATTACAATTTGCATAATTGACCAGCTTCCATACATGCGCGAACTCGTTAGTTTTACCTCAAATATATTAGTCAGACCAATCCCTTTTGTTAGTCACTCTGAAAACAATAAAATATATTCAGAACTTATAACTAAAACTCTCTAGGGAAAACCAAACTTCACCACTCATTTCCTTAAAAAAAAACATTTATCAGTTTAATGCTCAGTGGTTAAATACAGAGCAAATAGAATAACGATGCGTACAAACAGTAATGAATACGTAGTTTATTCCCTTGATCAATTCTAAAGGTCTACAAAAAGGTATACCTACTACTAGCAAATTAATTATCAGTTTAGGAGTCAAACTGACGAAGCAAACAGAATTCATTTTAACTACGTAGAACAAAAAAATACCTAGGAAATCATACAAAAATTAAAAAATAAATTTTATACGGTAGCTTAAAAAGAAATACAAGCAAAAAAATAGTATCTGTATAAGTTTTTGTATCCTTGAATCACTAAGTCAGAGGTAGATTAAAGAGGGGGGGGGGGAGCGACTGTTCCCCCTGAGACCCAAGAGGCAGATACAAAAATGGTTTAAGAGGGAACGCATATACTTACGCGATTGTGAAAAGCGTTTATTAAGACCAAAAATAAAGGTCTGGATTCAAGGTGTTTTAACAAGAGGAAGTTATCTGCAAAATTACTATTCTTTGAGTTATTCATAACCAATCTCTAGCCAAATCAAGTTAACTACCTGTAACGAGAGCAAGCTGCGTTTGACAGTTCCGATCTTCTCCAGCCGTTTGTCAGGAAAGGGGTCTAGAGAGTGAGACTCTCGCACCAAGCGGCGCAGGGGTCCGGGAAAGTTGTTGGGCACCCCTCGGTCCTCAGAGTTGCCCCTCGGCACCGAGGACTGGCGCCGCTCTAACCGACGATCCTCTCCCATCTGTTTGGGACTGCGATGAGGTCGGCAGAAGAGAGGAGGCAGCTCGTCGACGTTAACCTGCAATCAGCCGACGCTTGTAGAATCAGACTACTTCGGCACTATTCAAATTCAATACAAGCCTGTTTGTCTTTTTGCATCACCAAATGCCACAAAACTTTGGAAAAATCTTCTACAGTAGAACCTCTCTCAATTGAAACAACAATTATTAAAACAGCAAAATAAAATAAAAACACAAAAATGCATCAAACACAAAAGAAATGAAAGTTAAATGGCCGAACAAAGAGGATGGCAAAGGATTCAAAGTCATTGCTTTTGACAATGCAAAACTATGAACACACTATTTGCCTATACGATTAACAACAAGTGTCTGCTAGAAGTAGAAGGTCCTGGTTTAGGGTGAAAAATGGAAAGCTGGTAGAGCACCCTGGTTGCAGCTTTGACCCCCCCCCCCTCCCCTTTGCAGGAGTCCTCAGCCCTTCAGCCCTACCCTGTAAAATTTTTGAAATTTAAGTTTCTGAAAACAAGATCTTACCCTAGTTTGGTGTTGAAATCCTGACTAAAGTTAGTGATATCTTACGTGTTTTTTCAAACTAATAAAAAAACATTGTAAGAAAACTTTTTGGGAAATTTGAATACCAGATGAAATTTTATGAATCATCATGATGAAGAACTTTTAAACGATATCCTTGAATGATAGCAGATCAAACAGCACAAAAAGCTCTATTGAACTAGATATAGTAAGCATAAATGTAGTTAAGCCATTTATTCCACCAAAGCAAACATTAAACACCCATGTTGGACTAAAAGGTTTCTAAGAGCCAATTACACCGATCTCGTTTATAAAACATTGAAATTTTTATTTCCATCAAAGAGAATAATAGTTACAAATTCATAGTTAACACCCAAATCATATCTGAATTTAGTAAATTACAATACGTTCACATAAGGTATTTCTTTTTTTTTTAGAAAATGATGATTTTGATTTTAAATTGATTTTAAGGGTAATTATTTAGGGAAAAAGCAACTTAACTTTAAATTAACAAATTTTTATTTAAAGAAATTTGATAAATTTTCCTTTTTCACAGTAGAACTCAAAACAATAAATTGAATTCCATATTTTATTGCCATGACAATTTTTAAAACATGTACGCGTTCAAGTACTAGATCTATGTACTTTAGACTGGGAATCCCACCGAACAATTAATTTTTAAATGACCACAAGCATTAAATTTGAATACTGAAGTAGAAATCCCATCAATATGGAGTAACCAGTTTTACAACGAATCAGATTTTAGTGTAACGAGCTTTTCACATAATGCACTAGATACTAATGAAGTTATATTTCCTCTTAAGTTTTTCCTACTATGACGGTCATATGAGGTCATAAAATATAAGCAGATTGAAGTACACTCATATAAAACGATATTTTACAACTTAATCTTAGAGGTTAATTGAACAAAGTTTGTCAAATTCTAAAACTGTCTACAGCTTGAATATTTGAATGGAATGTCTATTTCAGAAGCGTATATTGATAGAACTATACATTCCATTCCCATGTTTAAGATGTTGACAGTTTTAAAATCAAATTGACATGGTTGAATTGAGCCTTCGATAGATTGCGCTGATGTAAATTACAGATTCCTATTGAAAATGCAGACTTTTTAACCAAGTCAAACTGATAAGGACGACTTATTGTAAGCTATAACATCTTTTCATGGTAACTATCTCAGTAATTAAATATAAGGTAGAAAACATAACTTTGTATAAAAGTATACTCTGTGACTGGCTCATACAACTACGTTCTTTTTTAATGGAATTTTAATGACAGCTGGTCCATATGGATGTTATGTCTATTTCAGTATCCAAAATTCATCTGTTTTATCCTTTCACAGCCCAAGAAAGGAAGCTTGTTCAAACGTCACAATGAGGTTATTTATGTACATCATGTTTGGATTTAACGTCAATTTCCTTACCAGAGCTGCGTTTGACTCTTGGATGATATCATTTGGGTAGATGATTGTCACCGACTCAGTCTAAAACGTAAAATAATGTTGCAATTTGATCTAAAGTATAAGTTCTTCAAATATGAAGCACCAATAAAATCGGGTTTTGAAAAATGCCCCAAATTACGGTTCATCAAGCTATTTTAAGTTGAAAAAAATACTCTACTGATCGATGTTCATAAGATAAAGAATGAAGGATTTTTAGATAAATAGCACTAAAATAATACAAAAAAAAATCGTGGTGAACATATTATGAGTACAACCGTGCTCAGCTCATGCAATGATACTAAAACTCACCTTCAGTATTATTTTTCAATAAGTTGTTATTCATAGATAGTAACAGTTCGTGACTTGCAAGATGAAGGGGGGTAAGTAAATAGGTTTATCGTACTTACACCACTTTGTCTTGGAAGCGCCAAATTATTGTAACTAATTTAAATGCAACATTACAGTAACAAAATACCATATACATATTTAAAAAAGTTAACCTAGACTCAAGTACGAAACTGAACACAAACTGTTATTTCTCTCAGTCAAACCACATCAACAGAGAAAACAATGTTGAAACCTATTACTTCAAACTGTTATCTGAACATAACATGTTACAAGGATAAATCTAATACACTTTAACCTATTATTTCAACTTGTATCAACTACTCTATTACCTATTATTTGAGTTATGCACTAATATTTACTCAAACACAACTGTTACTTATACCGTTTTAAACCACTTCAATAGAGAAACCTAATTTGCAACCTATTACTTCAAACTGTTATCTCAACATAACCTATTACAAGAATTGTAGCTGCTTACCTCTCGTCGTCTGATAGCTCCCTCAGTCACTCCTGTCAGCCAATAGGTTAACACATCCCCCTTCCCCTTCATATGAACCACCCCCCGCTCCTCCATGGTGTATCTGGAATCAGTGTTGCCAACTTGTAAATATTAGCAGAAAAAAAGATAGCTAAAACTAAAATCTTTTGTAGAACTCATCGGGACATCAGCATTATTGACAAAAGCATAGGCTACTTCAGCCAAAATAATAAATACCCCAGAGTTCTGGTATAGTCTAGTATATTAGGCTTAGATAATTAGGTCACCAATAGGGCTTAAAGTTACTTTTCTACACTAGCTCAAGTCTACAACAACCAAAGATTGGAAAATGAGCGATGGTCGAAAAGACGCTTTTGGTCCAAGTGATGAACTATTAATTTTTTATTTTGTTAAAAGCTGAACCATTTTAAAGGCTAAATAATTCACAAAATGTAAGTTTTGTAAATTGCCTACCTTTGTAAATTACCTCCTCAAACTATTCTATCTTTATGAACTTGGTGTCCGTTGACAAGAAATTTTAAATATCAAATTAAAGTATTTTAGAAATTTTTCATAAATTGGTGATTTTTTGTAATTTAAGTCATAAAATTAAAACAACCACCATTTTCAAATATGACTCTGGTACCTACCTTAAAAAATGTAACAAGTTTTATATTCGAAAAAAATGGATTTGAAAAATTCAAACATAAAATATTTAGGCCTATGTAAAAAAAACGAAATGGTGGGATATCTGATTGAGAAATTGTTTTTGGAAAAATATTATTTCAGGGTTTCTCTTTTTATTTTGACCCATAGTACTATTTCCCGGAGTTTGGCTGTTTACTTACAGGACACCTGTATAGTGATTGTGAATTTGAACAAACTAAAAAGAGAACATGGTTCTATATACTACTTACCCTCCAATCTTGATCAAGGCCTGTCTACACTGAGGGCTGATGTGTATTTTCAGAGGTAGTCCGTTGCTCTCCATACGCGAGGCAGTGTTGACGGTGTCGCCAAACAGACAATACCTCGGCATCGTCAGCCCCACCACACCAGCAACCACCGGACCTACGATGGACCGACAAAATAGTTTTGAAATACTATATGTTTACTTTTCCTCTGTTGATATTATTTCTTTCCAAAAAAGACTTTTCTAATATCACAAACATCAGTGATGGACAAATTTTAGGAGTTGGAATCTAGGTAAATCCTAAATAAACAAGTACAATTCTTATGAAATACAAACTTATTCCTTACTATTTATTGACTAAAGTTTTAAAAAAAGCTTGTTGCCTATGTGACTAATTTTTTAAACGGACTATTCCCGTCTATGCTATTAGAGAGAAATGAGGTACAGAGGACACATTCTATGGTACACTTAATTGCTAAATAACTTCTTGATCAGCATTGTACGTGTTATTAAATTTACAGAAAGTAAAAAAAAAAAAAACGTCTTATAACACTTAAAAGTAAAACATATATTTACGTTTATACTGTTACTCACAAGACGGTAAATATACAAAAAAGATGGTAAGTGGTACTCCACCTACCACTTACCATCTTTTTCGTATATTTACCGTCTTGTGAGTAACAGTATAAGCATAAATATATGTTTTACTTTTAAGTGTTAAAGACGTTTCTTTTTCTACTTAATTGCTGTCTAGCTAGTCGCTGGTGTTTAGGGAAAATTCCAACACCCTCTCATATACTACAACTCTCACAGTGGAGGAAGACCCTGTACGAGAGGAATTTTTGCACAGTGCTCATTGCACTAGGTCTTAATTGCTCGTCACAAGAATATTTCCAGCCACATATTACAGATGAAAGTGCATGGTCATAGTGAGAGTTGACTCACCAGTGTGTACTCCTATCCGCAGCTGCAAGGTGTCGTGGGGCCGATGAGCAATCTGATAGTTCTTGACAGCCTCTAGTAGATCCAGTGACATGGAGGCAATCTCCCCGACGTGCTTGTCTCCGTTGCGGATAGGCAGCCCTGAAACCTGACCATGTCACTGTAGCGTTATTCTTATTCAATCAGTGCTTAACCCATTGGCGCCGACTTACGAGCGTTACTCGTACGGCTGCTGCAGGCCCGGCGGCCGACTTATGAGAGCCGCTCGTGTCACCGCTAGGCAGCGCCATTTTTTATTTAGTTATTATTATTTTTCGCCCTTTTTGTTTCTTCTTACTACAGTAGAACCCCTCATATCCAGCCACCACGGGACCAAGCCCCTGGCCGGATAACGATTTAACCGGATAAACCAACCTACTATGAAAATGACCATTGATCTAATAATATTATCTAATCAATATATGCAGTCAAAAGTATCATTCAAGTCTGTTCTGGGATTATTTTTAGAAGAATAAACATGTTTATAACTTAAAAAAAAAAAAAATTATTTGTAAGCTAAAGTCGTTAAGTAATGATAGTACAAATACTATGATTCCAGGTAGGCCTACAAAAAATATTAAACCATAATGGAGGTAAAATGACAATGAATTGGACTTGAATATCATTAGGACTTAAATAGTACATGCATTTATAAGTTACTCAACTTTCTTATCCACTTAGTGAAATACAAAAATTAATGTACCGGTACGGTACTGTACTGTACTAACCCCACTTTGGAAAATAATCATCCAACTGTTCAGAGGTTAGGCCTACTAGCTCAACTGAGTATAGTGACACAGTAAATAAATTATAAACAAACAGATAAATAGTGAGAACAATTCATTTTACAACTTGAGTAAACTCAAAGACTAGTGCTTGCATCTAAACGTCTGTAAGATGCGAGAAAAACATTTTCTTATTGGCTTCCTGGAAGGGGCCGGATAAACAGAGGACCGGTAAAACCAAGGCCGGATATGAGGGGTTCTACTGTATTATAATGTTTATAAATATCTTGCTTCTTGATTTGTGTATTTACTCATTTATTTTAGCGAATAACAAACAATTTTGTGTTGCCATGGAAACCACATATCACCAAAAATCAGCTGCGGTAAGGTAAACAAAAAATTTTTTTAAAAATGTTATTACTTATAAAAGTACACAACTTTTGATTTTTCTACGTAGGGAATCGATTGACCTTTATAATAGTAGTGTTATTTTGTGTCTGGATTAATCTTGGAATTTGTATATCAAGTTTACTTTCAAAATATTGTTTTTAAAATTTTTATTTTTATAATCTTTATATATATATATTTTTTTTTGTTTAGAGCTTTGACTATCCAATTACCACTTTTCTGTAGACAATTTTACTGTGAACAAAATGGTGAAAAAATTATTAATTTATTACCTAAGGTTTTCTTTCTATTGCAGTTAGAGTATAAGTCTACAAATTCGGTAAAATTAATTGCCGCCAGAGGGTGCTGCAGGTAGCGCATTAATTCCTTCCCCAATGGGTTAACTTTAGAAATCATGTACTGGAGCTAGGTATGGTCGAAACCAGAAACTTTGAATCTCAAAACTGAAACCAAAGCTTAAAAATACCAGATGAATAACATCCTAAATCTTGAATCTCAAAACCTAACACTAACCTATTTTACTTACCTGGTTTAGGCTACAAAAATACAGGTAATCAAAACATTTTTATCATAAGATCAAAACCGAATGAAATTGGACTCCCGACCTTGACATAATGATTTTTATAAACCTGTTACAATAAAAATTCAATAATAAGACTAGGCCCCACTAGAAAACCGCTTAGTGCCCATGTTTGCAGCATGACATTTTTTAAGATAACAAACGGAATACTTACGACCATGTAAGCGTCTCCGATAGTCTCTACTTTGTAGACGTCGTAACCTTTGATGATTCTGTCAAACAATGTGTACAGGTCGTTCAAGAAGTTTACCACCTGAAAAGATAAAACGGGTCACACACACACACAAGTTCAATTGGGGGGAAAAAATTTGTTAAACCCCATCAAAACTAAACATCAGCAAGAGTTTCCTGTTGAAAAATAACAAACCTTACGCAACAGATTCAAAACAAACAACAAATATTACGAATGAATTAGCTGTTCAGGCATTTACAACACCTGTGGCCTACAGGTTAAAATTATATGTAAAAAAATCAAATTGTTTATTTATATTGAAATCTCGGTATAAAATAAATAAATACAACAATACAAACCTGCAGAGGTGTGCTTTCAGCGGACATTTGTGTGAAGCCTACGATATCACTAAAGTAGATGGTAACAAGGTCAAATGACTCCGGTTCCACACCAAATCCTCGCGTTAGTCTTGCTGCCACAGGCCTGGAAAATTGTCATTAATCGATTAATGATCAGTTACTTCAAACAGTGTAAGATATATTTTCTTATTAATTGACGGTCAATGAATCTGTAATTTTTTCAACCGTCTAATCTCTTAAGTCTTACACCAAGTATGAATCATGTTCTGCGATTAGGTCTTCTTCTAACCCGCTAAGCCACTTAAGCACAATTTTTAGTATTTTGTCAACAGTTTTCATGTAAAACAGAGCTTTGCATCAGATTTACACAGGCTAGATAAAGGTGTTATTTATTTTATTTCATTTTACTACAATGGTTTTCTGGGTCCACCGTACATTACAAAAGGCGAATATATGTTTTACTTATGTATTAAGTTAACATAAATCAAACGTTGCTTGAAACAGTTATCTCAGGTTCTACTTACGCAGGTAACATCCGATGCAGCAAATCCTCCGTTTTCCGCTTCTCCTCGTACACCTCTAGTGTTCTCTGGTTGACGAGGTCCTCCAAATTGTTGGCGTACTTCTCCATCATGTCCATCATCTGATCCATAATGTTCTTCTGTCTAAACAACAAACAAGTTAACAAGTTCAAACGTGATGGAACCAATTATTGATCAGAGGGTGGTGCCAATTGATTGGATTCACCTACCCTACGGCAATTATATTTTGAACCTTTTTTGAAGGCCAAGGTACAAGTGACAAATTTGAGCACACGAGCTGTGTGAATTTGGACTAAACTAATTTATTTTTCACTCTTTGTACGTTTTGGTTAAAAATTTGTAGAACGCCTTCCTTCAAAATAAAATCTATATCCTTCATACAAAGGACTTCATACATCCCATCGTAGCTCTTTATTTAAGATACAAAGTTAGGAATCTCTACTACCTTACGACTTCTTGTGACAGAGATACAAAAGAGTAGGAATCACTCACTTGCCTTCCCGCATGTTCTTGAGAGACGCTCTTATCGTGCGGAAGTCTGGCCTCAGTTCTGGCTGTTCTGCCCAACATTCCTGTGGAAATCAGAAAGAACACTTCAACGAAGAACAGATAGTTATTCATTCAGCAATCATAATACATAATAATATATATATATACTGGTATATCTACGATATATTTTAGTAAAAATGCAAAAATTTTTAAACTTTTCAACCCTGATTTTTACAGCATTGGGAGTTTAAAGGACTATAACACATACTAAATTGTAATCAAAATCGTTCAAGCTCTTTTTGTAAAACAATTAATTCAGCTCAAATATTTTTAAATGAATGACAACTTATAGGGTTTTTTTACAACATCCCTGTTTGATGCCTGTTTTGTAAACTTTGAAAGAACCTTTACTTCAAAAAACAACACACTTTAACGAATAAAGAAGAACATGAGGTAATGTCACCATTTGGCGGGAGGTGAAGAGGTTGACTCTGAAGCTGCAAGAGTTATTTACGATGGCGTCCGTCATTGGTTGCAACATTCATATTTTGAAATTTATGGTCCAATGAAAAAATGTATGCATATTTCATGCTTTTTTTCACGGTTACATAAATTTGTGCATATTTCACGCTTTTCAAGGTCTTCCAAGGTTCCATAGCCGGTGGCAACCCTATTACCTGTATTATTTTTAACTGTACATTAACCAAGTAAGTAAAAACGTTCATTTTAGGTTCTGAAATACAAGATTATATCTTACAAAACTTGCAAGTTTTGAGATTAGAAATTGATTGTTTTCACCATCACAACTTGCCTGTATGACAGCCAGCACATAGTCCTGTCCAGCCTCACTGTCTCGCAGCTGTTCTAGGTTAGGTCTGAATGGAGCTTCACCCGGGCCCGGCACCTGGCGCACCATCTTGATGATCTCTGTTAACAGTCACAAATATTGTAACGCAAGGTGTGTGTTAAAAAAGTATAAAAACTGCTCAACCAAAAGTTACCGTTGTGAGCAATTGTAGCTTTTGGATGGTTTGAACTAGACCCAGCTGTCCTTGAAAATTGGTTGTGTAAAAAATATATTTGGCAAAAAAGAGGTTTGATACTAAGACTATAAAAAACGGCTTAGGTACCTTATTCAATTTTACCTTTATTCTACACTCATCCTTCACTGTTATTTGGGGTTAAAATACACCCAGCAAAATTAGTTTTTAAAATTAAAAAAATTGTTTTTCAAAGCAACTGCAAGGCGCTGCCACTGCAGTTTCAGCCAAATTTGAGTCACACATCCGTTGAATTGAATCTTTAGTTTCTTGACAAGTATTCAACATTAAAAAAATTCACATAGCATTCTAACATAATTTTTCACATTTTGAGAGTCTTAGCAATGCTATTTTACAATGTACTGAAGTAGATTAATTTTACCTGGCACTTAAGATAAAAAAACCTAACATAGATTACCTGAAGGTTCATCGAAGCCACAAGCGCCAAAGGGTCCCCTCCTGCCGATGATTTCATGCATGATGATTGCGAAGGCGTAGACGTCTCCTTTGAGAGTTCCGTCCACTGGGGCATGAGGATCTCTCAAGAGCTCGGGTGCCTTCCATAACAGATCTATAACAAATGACAAAAATGTATAACTATACTTTGTAAAAGCTATTTAGCTGTTTAGTTTTGTTCAAGGAAAGGCTCTAGGCCAGGATTTTGAATTGTAGAGTATAGCAGTTAGCTTATTTTGTAAGAAGTACAGTAGGCCATAGAACATTCAGAAGACAGACAAAACGCACAATTTCATCCCCACACAAGACAACTCTGGCTGCGTTTTTTTTAACCTCTATTTTTAGTTTCCTTTCAGAATTCCTTTTGTTTTGTTTTGACTCTCAGTGTGAATCTTCTTTTAGGATTTTCCAACTTTCGCTGGATTTATGAACTGATCTTGTTATGTTTATGTATTTTCACATGATCCCCCACATCTTTAAATGTTCCACAGCTTATTTAATACCAATCAGGCTGAAAAATCTTCATAATAATATTCTAAATATAAAATTCTCGTGTCACAGTGTTTGTCTGCAAACTCCTCCGGAACGACTTCACCGATCGTTATGAAATTTGGTGTGTAAATTCTGTAGGTATGCGAATCGGACGTAAACTATTTCCCGTTTCGAAATTCTTAAAAGGGCTCCGCCCCAGTGGCTCTGGAGTTTCCCATGTTAACCTTATGAGAAATGGAATTAATGAATCTTAACAGCTGTTTCAATTAAACAAGTTGGTTCTGTTCTATGATGTTCAATAGCATTAAAGTTACAAGGATTACCAACAGGGTGCAGCACTATTATTTCTTTTACATTTATGACAACAGCTAATTTGCAACCAAAAGGTGAGTGAGCGTAGCGAACGAACTTCAACCTGGAGGCGAGCTAGCGTAGCGAACGAGCTCCAACCCAAAGGTGAGTGAGCGTAGCGAACGAACTTCAACCTGGAGGCGAGTTAGCGTAGCGAACGAGCTCCAACCCAAAGGTGAGTGAGCGTAGCGAACGAACTTCAACCAGGACGTGATTGAGCGATGCGAACGAGATCATCTTGAAAATTAAACGTAACGGTACTTTCTTTCCATCGGTCTGTCATAGGGGAAACCTATAACAACTTAGGCGATACGAAGTTCGCCGGGTCAGCTAGTATTCTAAATAAAATAAACACTTAAAATACTAAAAGGAACAAAAATCTGTATGAAAAAAATACACACTGCGGTAATACTGGTGCTCTCCGATGCTGTCGTTCTCGGCACACTGTCGCATCTCGTGCAGGCCGAAGTCCGTGACTTGTAGGACCCAGCGGCTGGTCACCACGCAGTTGCTGGATTTGAGGTTACCGTGTGGCATATTGGCAGACGTGTGTAGGTACAGCATACCCTGCGGCAACGACAGTCAGCGTTACTTCGTTTGAAGTTAATTTTTGGTGATGGTAGGGTTGTATCATTTACATCTGTTACTAAGATTTTTTGTATTCCTCTGGGTTTTAGCCAGGAATTCCTTTTCATATTACTTCAGGCTAGGTAAAGAGAAGGTCATGGAATTATTACATAAATAAAATCCATTTGTGATTGGCCGGATTTGAACCCAGGACCTCAGGGACTAAAGTACCGAGCTCCATTAAAACCCCTTAAAAACATTTGAAAAATGTTTAGATTGTGAAAGGTAAAATTACTAAAATAATTAAACCACATAACATTTTGTATTGAACACTATTATGTATCATTATTTTCTTAAAGTGGTTCCAAAGACTATACAACTTAAAAACACTAAAAAAGGCCATTACTACCTATGTATTTTATACATAACATAACAATCTAATATAGGACTATAAAATTAAAAAGTGACTAAACCTGAAATATTTTAACAAACCGTGAGAATCAATGTCACATTTTTCTGCTATAATCTAAATCTTTCTCAGTAAATAAAAAAAGATTAGCTAGTTGTTGTACTTTGAAATTGACTTTAAGTTTTGAAATTCTTATAAGAAACAAACCTTAATGAGATCATTGACTAGAGAAGCGATGAACATTTTGTCCAACTTGATATCTTCGTTTTCTACAATATCCTGCAACAAACACAATTTATTGATTAATTTACTACACAAAATGTGTGGATAATTTGGTATTAGACTCACACAAATTACCAACAAAATTTTCAGTTTCAAAACCTGTGTGTGACACGTTTTCTTGGTTAAGGAGATTTTTTTAAACTGCACATCTGTGAATATCCTTGACAGAAGCATAACTAAATACTATGGAATTTGTGTGCACTAAAAATACATGTGATCATTGTAGGCTACTGTGGACATTTTTTTGTCTTAGTGAAAAACCGAAGTGCCGCGTTCTCACCACTAGACCAGCTCGCTCCCCTACTGTGGACATTAGAGATGACATCCTTCCATAAAGATGTTAAATTGTTATCTATAACAATTGACAACTATAATACTCACATACAGACTACCCTTAGCGCAGTAATCGGTTATGATCAGTATCCTCATAGGCTCCACTGACGCTCCAATGAAAGAGTTAATATTATCGTGCCTAATCTCTCGTAGGCGTCGCATTTCCTTCATCGTTTCACGCGTGATGTCCTTCTTCTTGGAGAACTTGAGCTCTTTTATCCTCACGACGACACCTCGGTATTGTCCAGTGGCTGCGAAAACCTGACCTCCACATCTCGACTCTATTGACGTTGCGCTCACTAAAGACGTCTGAAATGAATTGATCATATAGTGCACATAAGTAGGTGTTTGGAGGAAAGAGCAGATGCCTATGAAACACATGTAAGAAGAAGAAATGGACACACAACCAACTTATCTCAAATTAAATTTCAGAGAATTGATAGGCCACAAAAAGTTCACAACACTTTGAATCTTAAATTACGCTCCTGCAAGGGAGCCTCTAGAAGTCTCTAGATGTCAGGGTTTTTGTATGCTATTAACTGTGTGAAACTTATAATAATATTTATTTATCAACACCAGAGGTATTTTTTACATTTTTTGAAAGGGAACGGTCCAAACCCTGGTCTTGTTACTGTCTAACATCGACCTGTTGTTAGATAGCTTGACAGCCCAATGTTAAATGACATCTGGGTCTAGCAGCGATCTCGCTTGGAATCAAACCAGGGACTTTCAGAATTGAAAAAGAGCGTTATAAAGACTCGGCTACCCAGGCAATCATATATTTCTTGTTGTCTACACTGGTGCAATTTCACAGGAGGAAGTACTCAAACGAACGCTTTTAGGGCACTTGGATGTGCCAAAAACCTGTCACTCACGTATTGATTTCTGAGAAGCCAACCAATGGGATAGCTACCCAAAACTTTTATTGCGTAAGTATCTATTCCTTCTTCGAATTTTACACAACTCATAAATTCACAATTGGTGTAAAATTGTATAAAAACATCAAAAGGATAGTTAACAATTGAAAGAAGATAACGCTCGCTTACCTTACTTGGTGACGAGACAATATCGTTGTTATAGTAACTAAGTAGATCGGCCAGGTCGATTTTCCAGAGGAGACCTTCGATTTCCTGCTCGATTCTCCACTTGCGGTACATGCTGAGAGTAAAGACGCTCGAACAGAAGAGGAGGATACCCAACGCCATTGCTATGATAACACTGTGAAAACAGACATTGCTGTAAATATTGGTAGACTTATCCACGGTCCATTTGTTTTGAAAATAGGGAAGTAATATTCGACCAAAACTATTCTCTGTGAATACTTGATGAGAAAATTGTGGCACTTTATACGATGTTTTCTTGGTGTAATTGAGGCTGCTACAGATTTCCAATATAGGACTTACTTTTGCTTGTTAATTCTGCACAGTGAAATACACAACACATATCAATTGTTCTAAGAGTTCAACTTTTGTTCACTTTATTCAAAGATTAAGTACGGACACTTTTATAGGTGAGGGTGAGACGTACTATGTATTAGAGCTGGAGATGGCACAGAGTGTTTTGTTCTATTAATTTATAAGAAACTACAAGCGACTAGTGATTGGTAGAATTTGAACCCAGGGCTTATGAACTGAAGTTCTGGGCTCTAACCATTAAATGAGATTTGCCCCTACATTACTACATATCCATTACTTTAATGATTTGATAACTATGAATTAACATGAACTATGAATTTGATCATTATTATTATTAATATCTTACTAATAATTTATAAATTCCCTGCAAATGCATAGGGGCATCACTGTGTGTTTAAAGCACCTAGGAGAAATGGACAAAAGCCTTAAAAATAGGAAAAGCTAAAAGTACAAGAGACAACACAACATGAGCAAACATAACTACATGTTGCAAAGGCACAGTAACATGAGTAACATGAGCAAAGGCCAATCGTGCATATGGCTCCATGGTTCAAGTGTACACCCGCTACAAGGCAACTCGCACTAGCATCAATTTGTAAACAGAATCACACCAATAGTAGCTCTGCAGCTGACGTGTACGCTTTAGTGTGTCTAGACAATTTTTTAAAATTATTGAATCTCTGGTCTCACGCGAGATAAGGAAGAAACATTACCGATGCAGTTTAAGGCCCTAATGCAATGAGTGAGGGTTAAGTGTGAAAATGGGTTAGGGAGTTTAAAAATGGCTGTGAAAATGTCCATCTAGTAAGGAATTGTTTATGGATTTTTTATGCATTACGAGGAAGAAGGGGATGAAGTGTTAAGTCAAATCATTGCTTGAGAAAAAATATATGTATCTCATTTAACCCCTGAATCCAAGCAGCAATTATTCATGAAATTAGCAATTCAACCTTCCCCCGTCAATGTCAAAGCTAAAGCCCTAACAAGGCCGGCCCGAGTGTTCCTCATAATTCATCTGGCTCCAAAAAAGCTCAACTCGATTGCTTGAATGATATATGAAAGGTGTTAGATTTTACACTTGATGTATGTCAGAGCTACCAACCCACTCTCCTGGGAGTCATCTTTGGCGCACAGTTCGTTGTGGAAACCGCAGCTCGGCTCGTCGTCAGGCTTGCGACCACCGACCCAGTCCGGCTGGAGACTCGGGGAGTTGAGCTTATACTCCTGAAACCCATACAGGCAACACCACGTTGTTACTACCTCACTAACAAAGATAAGTTTAGCTTCAGCGTTTAATATAACTAAATAGAATTATAATAGCCCTTCTGTGTGCAATATCAAAAATTCCAAACTGTCAATTTTCCCAAAATACTAACTAAAAATTAAATAAAAATTTGGAACATGAATGAAAAATTGAAATGTTCAGATAGTAAAGTAGCCCGCAGAGAAGTAAGGTACAGAGGAAACATCCAATGGTACACTTAAGTGGTGTCTAGCACAGTTGATGGTGTCTAGGGTGAAGTCCTACACTACCTCCTCGTCATCATGTACTAAAATCCTCACAGTGAAGGAAGACCCTGTACCATAGGGAAATCCTAGGTCTTCCTTACTTCTCACAAGTATATTTCTGGGCATACCAGATTTGAAAGTGCATGGTCTTCCGTACTCGCATAAGTTTCCTCTGTTCCTTACTTTTCTGTGAGTAGCCTAAGTTTAGTGAAACAAAATTAATAGTGGTCAAATTGGAATGGTTCCCAATTCAAAGCATCTACTTAACACTGTTAGTTTAAATACACAAATTACTTCTAGCAATGAAATAACCAGGGTTAAACAACCATACAATGTTAATGTATACGATTGGTAACGTTTGAGTATGCTGATATCTACTGATGTGTCGAATCTGAATCTCGAATCCACCGAATCCTAAGAATAGGTTCAGATTCGAGATTCTATTAACAAGGTTCGAGAATAAAAAAAGTATTTTTTTTTTTAGAATAGAATTATAAGTCATATACTGTGACATTGACTTACCATAGAGGTTATTGGCATCGTAGTATACAGTACTGTGACATTGACTAACCATAGAGGTTATTGTCATCGTGGTGTTTATAAGACAGTGTTAAATGGTTCCTATTCCATTCTTGCTTTTTTAATCACCATTTGTAATTTATTTTTGGGACTCAAGATTAGTTTTTTCAGGATTCGGATTCGAGATTCAAAATTCCTGGACTCGACCACCACTACTTAAAAGGTTATTACAATTTAAATCATAACAACCAAATAGAAACACATTGTTTTTCCTCCGTTACTAAACCAAAGGATAAAGCACACTATGACAAATTACCCCTAATAACTAAGAAACATTCAGTCAACATAAAAAGACTTAAGCGTTACCAGAGTGAACACACACAACAAAACCAACTTCAGGTTTCAGAATGAAAAGTATACTTGCATTATCTACAGTGGTATTACTTTAAGTAAATTCTTACTGGAAGCGTATCTCCTTGGAAGAACTGGCCGACCGGGATGAAGTTGTAGTCGCAAGTGAAGTTATAAGTGGGCATCTTGATGTAGTGATAAAACTTCTTGAATGCGACCACTGAGAAATTGCCTTCCGAATCACCATTCAAGTCTAGCTTGTTTGTTGCACCTGTTATACCTGATCATAACAACATTTTGATAAGTCAAATCGGTGTAATTGATTGTTTTATTGTACGGTATGACACATAAGTTGAGTTTAAGAATTTGGGTTTGTTTTTGTGGAACCCTTGTCAAGAGAGCACACATAAAATACGGTTTAGGTTTTTAAATGATACCAAGACCGATCGTATTTGATACAAATCTTTTGTGAAAATTTGATATTGATGGAACCTTAATTAATTGTTGGATTACTAACTCTCGTACTTTCTGCTTATGAACATGGACATAAAGTTACTTTTGTAGCAACTTACTCTCGTACGTTCTGTTTTTAATGATGGTCTCGATGATTCTAGTTCCGTTAGTGGCAACTTGTTCGACGACTGTCTCATTTAGTACAGGTTCTTCCTTCAACAGCTTGTCTAAGGCACGAGCATACAACAACACTGCGTCATACAGGTTGGCGGCTGTTACGGAGATGAACTGAAAGTACAATTCAAATATAATAAACCTTACAAGTGCGGTTAGATGATACACAAAATAAGACTTTTCTTTTTGATTGACAGGGGAAAACAACTAGAAGTAGAAATTACATAGTGATGTGTCAAATCCAAATCTAAAATGCACCAAATCTAAAGCGTGTGCTCCCACTATCTCCGCGTTCCGCCACCTCCGAACCCAAATCTGTCCCGCCACCTCCGAATTCTTGAGTGACCCTTATAATCCCGTCACTGCCTGCGTTGTTAGCTGTCATTGCATCCATGGCTGCGAAGCCCCGTGGATGGAAGATTTAATGAAAATTTAACCCGTGGGTTAGGTTAGGTTAAGTTAGGTTAGGTTTGGACGGAAAGTCTTAACGCAGGAAGTAACCGAGGATTATAGGGGTCACTCTGAAATTCGGAGGTAGCGGTACACGGAGGTGGCGGGACGCGGAGATAGCGGGAGGTAACCATCTAAAGTAACTAATCAAATTCATGAATCAATAGCTTGAAAATCTAAGCTCAAACCTGACATTTAGTTAAAAATTCGGGCCTTCATTCAAGGCAGTAATTAATTATAAGTACGGAAAAATTAAGAGAAATTGTTATTTCTGATTCCTCTCAAATTTTTACACTGTACAAAATACCTACATTGTAATTTGTAAATGTGTGAAAATAATTGTGTGCATTGTTAGATTGCAAAAAATATTTTGTTGACTACTGGTCTTTGAGTGATGACCTCATCCTTGACTCAAATATATAATGTCATGTATTTTGTTTGAAAAACTGACGTGTCATATGTTTACTGGTGATGTATCACAATTAGGCTATGTAAATTATATGTGACAAATAAACATTTCATTTCATTTCAATAGCTCCACTGAAAAACATTGCAGCAAGTGAATATTTTCAGAAAACGCAAAAAAGTGTTGGTCACAACACTGCCAACACAGCCAGTTTCCCCTGCTTGTAAGTTCTGTCAACCTATTTATTTTTCAAAAATATCCCATACAGTTGCATCATTGTTCTTTAAAAATCTCAATTTAAAAGCAACCCCTAAGATATTCTTACCTTGGACATATCACTAGTGGTGAACACAGGAGGTGTAGGGAAGTTGAACGGAGGTTGAGCGTTGTATTCTCGGACTTTATCTGAAAACTCCTCGTACGTTTCAGCCGGAGGGGACGGAACTACGACCAGCAGCGACTGAGCTCTACGCAGGTAGTTCATTTCTTCGCTACAACTCACCAGTGTCTTCCCGGATTTGGGATTCTCTATCCCTACAAAACAAAATTATCACTCTATTGGTTCAACTTTCGTTAAAAATGGAAAACGATATCCCCGTGATCGCGAATTTCAACAAGAAATATCGTTGATTTCGGTTGGTTTCACAGCTTTTATTCAAAAATTTTAATTTTCCGGTTCTTTACAAAATTCACAGATTTTTTCCCGGTCTTCAAAATTTATATAAGTTCCTGATTTTCCCAGTTACCAGGTAGGCTTGAACCTGTGAAGTCACTTGTCCCCATTGGGCAATTCAGCAGCACAATACACACAACACAGTTACCGGACTAAAGCTAAGGTCTTGGCCAACAAAAGGAAGATATTGTATATGTAGAAGCATTGAGAAGTTTCCAAATTCTAAGAAGTTTGTTAATGGAGTGAGATCAACATTACAAAGGCTTATTTGATCTAGTGTACAGACATTGGTAACACTCACTCCAGAAGTATTTGGAGGCTTCTTTGATTGAGTAAGTCGTGAGATCCACAAATATCACCATGTACTCTCCGTTGTCAAAAAGTTGCAGCGCATCCATGTTCTCCATCATGTCCACAAGAGTCTTGGACTGGCCAAAGAACACGTAAACTGAAAAACATAAATGTTGATTAAATCTTATGTCATAGATTATTTAGATCACTTTTACATATAATGCCCCGCCCCTTCTTTTTCAAAACTTCGCTGCATGTAATTATTATTAGTTGGGATTCTAAAAAAAACAAAATTAAATTAGTTGTAGATCCATTTATTATCCATACGAAGGACATCTAGGGTCTAGGTTCAAAATATAAAACTTGCTTCAAAGTGGCTTAGCAGGGAAGGCCTAGCTCTAGGAAAAACCCGATATCGCAGGAGGTCAGTGACATATTTTTGTCAATGATCTGTGGACCCAATCCCAAGGTTGCCCCAAAAGCAGAAACTTATTCGTAACATAACAGGGGAGGGAAGCTCTCCACAGCAAATGCCAGCTGTTCATTTCATAGTGTTAGGCCAGGCCTACACCACCCTCCAAAATATTAAGTAGGATTGAACAGACGATTTCCCTTGTGTTAAGTTGGGCATTCGATAGTTGAGTAGCTGAGTGGATAAACTGATCATGTAACAGTCAAAAGGTTGCTAGTTCGATCCTGAGAAGTCAAAAACTTTTGATCAAAATCATTTGGCTTTTATTAAATGGCATGGGCCACAGAGAATTAAAAGGAACAGAGGATTCACTGTGGTATCTAGTGTGTCTAGCACTAGTCGCTGGTGTCTAGGGCAAAGTCCAACACCAACCCCCGTGTCCTCATGTACTACAACGATCACAATGGAGGAAGACCCTGTGCAATAAGAATTGCCACACAGTTCTCGCTGTTCTGGCTCTTCCTTTCTCGTTACAGGTATATTTCTGGTACAAAATAACAGAGCTTAAAGTACATGTTAGTCCCATAAGTGTGTCCTCTGTACCTTACTTCTCTCTTGGGCTTAGAAAAGAGAAACAGCTGGTCTTAGTCGGTAAAAAGCTACACAAGACTTCTCACATTCTACACTCGTCCTTCACTCATTTTACTCAAATATTATATTAGTGAAGAATGAAAATACGTCCAGCTGCGTTACTGCCCCATCTCAATTGGTAAAAAGAAAAAAACAAATCAACCACTACTATCTATTTCAGCAACAATCAACATGGATTTAAAATACTTTGCAGATTTACCACAACACTCAAAATTGTTCTTAGCAGTTGTTATACTCACTTCTAGTGAGGTTTCTGGTTTCTATGAGCATGTTGTACCAGAATCCACTGGTACAGCAGGGCAGGAGATCTCTACAACACTTGGCACTGCTCTGGATGGGACGCACACAAGTCACTGTCATGTTGGCCTAAAACAGACAACATGATCAACACATACTCATGATTGCTAATTGATACAACAAATTACAGACGATCAATTGCTACTAAACACATAGCAAGTATTTGGTCCTATCATACCAGTATTTGGAACTAGTGTTGACCCATATTTTCCCATGACAAGTAGAAGTTAAGTTTGGACTTATATACCACAACTCTATTATATTTTGGATACATGATCATATTCCAGATTCTTTCTTCTTCTTCTTCTTCCATGATCATATTTCAGAACTGTTGTGAAACTTCTCTTAATCTCTTATGAGGGTTCCACCCGCCAACTGGTTACCACGCAAACACGGTTCTACAAAAAAAGAGCCTTATGGCATTATTAAGGTGTTTATTGAGTTGAAATAAACTGTAAAGATCCAAACTATGCCCTGGATGAACTGAAACTGAAACTGAGTGCGGCCGTACGGCCCCTGTACGTATGGGGGCCGAGCACCGTATCCGATGGAGATCGCTCGGCAATACCTTTTGTATACCTTTTTTTTTGCTCTAGCGTCGGTCGAAAGCGGACCTATACCACGTTAGCGTGTAGTGTGTGACTTGAATTTTGTTGTGGTGTATGTTGGTAGTAAATTTCCCCGTAAAATCCCCGTCTGGCAAACTTAAAAATCAACTTTTTGTCCCGTGTTTTTCCCTCCATTTGGCAATACAATTCCAATGGGACTGGCTACGTTCCAAGCAGTGCTGCTATCTGTGGGTGTTTAGCGAGCTACGTCGACTCTCGTCATGAAGCAGGACATCCCTGCACGTTATTTGCTATTTGTCAGACCAAACTTGGAAAGCCAATCACACGCCGAAATCGGATTCGTTCGACGCTACTGGATGCGCTGCACTGGGGATTCGCCTGCCAATTGATGTGCCGCAGCGAATGTGTTAACCCATTGCTAAATAAAGGTAACTTAGTCGCAAAATATTAGCATTTGTACATTAGGTACCTGGTTGGCTTCTTTGTGCAATGACTCCGCCACTATCTCCCAATCATCTTCCCATATGATACAAAACTTCTTCCAATCGTAGTACTTCAACAATGCTATCACTGATTTGGTCACCTGAAAAAGATATATTGTTTGATTTATTAATGTAACAGTCTGATCCTATGTCTACAAAGTCCCTTGAATCATTAATCATTTGAGAGCACCATTGATTTATGGTTTCATCTAAGTACAAAAAACTAAATGGTCACAGCATCATTAAATAATCTCCCACATTTAATTTATTTAATAGTTTAACACTTAAGAGAAATTCAATTATATAAAAATGTAGTTGTTTCTCTTGTTTACAATCTGACGGTGGTTAAACATTCAACTGAAAGATCAGCTGTTAACATTTAAATTGAAATTTAAACCGTTATAAAGAAAGTTGGTCAGCATCACTGAATCTTTTAAAGCAAAAACTGATATTAAAAATTGGTTAAATAGGACAGCTGAAAAGAGGATGTATCAGGGAAAACCTTAATAATTGTTTTTATTTATAGATAGATATATAAACAGATGGATAAGGTGTTCACTCAAAGGTAAATATCTGAGAAATTAAATATAGACACAGGTTTTTTTTAAAACTTATTTATATTAATTGTCCTTTAAAATTTTTTAATGGTGAAAAAATTTATTTTTTTGTGTCTGTCACATGTTTTAGTCAAATTAGTTGTTAGCGTTTTTGTTTTTTATTGTTAAAAATCACTTTGAAGTATTTTTTAATCTAACTAAATTTGCTTCTAAATATTAAACAAATATAATATTGGTACAATACTTTCAATCCTCATATAAAATTTGGTTTGACTCTTTATAACAAATAAATAAAGTACACTTATAAGATTTTTAACTAAGTAAACCAATATTTAATTATCGTTATCACAATCTTAAAATTGCTAGCCTTGATTTTCAAGGACATTCTCAATCATGACAATTCTTTAACTTCAACATAAATAAACCGTAAATGAACCCCATTTTTGTATTTACTAAGGTGCAAAACACAATATTCATATTCAAATGTTTTCTGCAGTTGAAATGAACTTGACAAACAATTCAAGTGGTAGTTATAGATGCAAATATACAATTTGCATGTCTGTTATATGGAGAATAACAAGTGGTTAAATCTTGTACCATGGGTCAACAATCTGTGTGTATTAGTTAACGTCCTATGTTTCAGAACAATTTGTCCTGCACTCATTTTCGGGTTAAAATACACACCTAGGTGGAAACCCATCTCAATTGATTATGAATAATGGGATGATATGTCTTCATAGTAGCAAAAAAGAACATCATCAATCATTTTTCGATCAACATAAAGACAATACTTTCAAAGATAACAACTCATAAAAATATAATCAAGTTATAAATAAAATTATGCAGTGTGAATGAATGAAACTACACAATTGAGTCTGCGACTGTTGAGTGTTGACAACGTAGGAGGTGCTGCAGTCTAATCACTCGTACAACGACAGAATATCAACGATCCTCGGACGTCAAGGATGCATTTTAGACACAGGAAGTCTGTGTCATTACAACAACTCTCAAATCTTATCTGATCATGTGACAAGAGTAATAATGATGGTTTCAAGGAGCTACTGCATGAATAAGGATTTGCAAATTTATAGTTTTAAAAAATTACTGGATTTAACTATTTATACTATTATAAAATTGAGGTGGTGTCTGTCTGTCTGGGCAGCTGTCAAGACTAAAATACTAAACGGATACAGCCAAAATTAAGCACAGAGAAATTAAGATATGTAGTCCACACATCTAGGAATGTCATAGGCCTATTCACTTCCCTGAGTTCCTCTTAGGATACGCCCCTTGGATGTCCAATGCGTTTAGGTAAGGCTTTCAAAAGTAAATATTAATGGTCTCCATGGAAGCATGAGAAAATTCACAATGTTTACCTTTGCCTTGACATTTGAATGTAAAGAATGATAACTGCCAAATGTCATGCAAATGCTCATTTTACAATTTCAGACAGCTGATCCAAAGAAATTAAATATAGGCTATTTTACACAACTATTTGGCAGGATAATTTAATCTAAAACTTTATAATAGATTATTTATGCTAAATCTATTTCAATTATGAAACCGATTTTTCTTCCCGTAGCAAAGCACGGGTAGGCTGTAGTAGGTCATAGATAAAACACACTCCCTTAGTAAATTTCTCATCTTTGTGGATCAGCTGAAGACAATTTTATTGTTAAATCTGTCTGTGGTAGAGGTTGTGTTTAGTTTAGAATTTGTATCTTGTTATTTCATAAAACGTCGTTTAACCAAATAAAATGATCTAATAAAACAATCACTTGCCCCCCTAGTTATATAACCAAACAGTAAAGCGCAAATCATGAAAATAAATAGAAACAACATTTTGTCGACACTAGCGATCATTGTCATTGGACAGGAACTATTAGACTCGAAAAACAAGCTTCAAAATTTACAATGAGATGGATTACCAATGAATATTATAAATGAAAAGTTGTAACTACAGTAAAATCCGTTTCAATGGCACCCCAAGACAGCAGAACAATAGAAAACCTACTGACAGACCAACCTACAGCAGGGTCAATTAAACATGTGAGAAGAATCTGATAAGAACAATCAAGACTTAATTAATTACAGACTGACTTGAATACAGAATGCAAGGGGTTTAATACTGCATTTATCACTTCTGTTGTTGTGTATGGAAAACAAATTCTATGCATGTATTATTGAGAAAATAATTACCATTAAATAATTTATAAAATATTGATTAGTGACTACTTTCAAAATTTAAAAATACCTCCGCCGCAGCAAACCTGCAGGATAAGCGAATTTCCATTTGTCTGAATTGATTTTCAATTAGGTTTAACAAGTACCTAGGTTAGCTGCTACAAGGAAACTAATAAAGTGTGTTTTTAATAAAATATTATTAGCTTAGTATAAAATAAGTAGATTTGTCAAGTTTGATCAAAATATATCCATAAACAAGCAAACTAAAACATTTTACAATATTCTCCATTAAAAAAAACATTGGAATTTTAAATTTACATTTTTTTTTATTTTCTCTGTTACCAATAACCGTACAAAAAACGGTCTAGAGAGTTTTACATATATAAAAATTTTAAAGAATGGTGTTTTTGGCTTCTGGGGACATCAAAATTAAAAAGTAAATCGGTCCCAGGCCTAGGTCTTACCACGCCACCTACGGTAATAGCTACTTCCCCATAGGGAAATTAACTAAAAAGTGTTAAGTTAGTGTAGAATTTAGTTCAATGTGAATCTTAATACTGACTACAACTACATTCTTCAAGATATTTCAAATTTGATACTCGCAGATAGGGTGCTTGGTTTTATTATTTAAAAGTATACTGTGTTTTTAATTAATTAGGAGATGCTTAGTAAATGAAAAAGTTAACATTAGATAATAATGGTTACAATTAAAAGGATTTGATTTCTAAATTAATAAGCGAATTGATAGTAAATCATCATTATTACAAAGTCAGTTGACTGTTACTCAACTTATTCCACAGAATAACACTGAATTAATCACACAGAAATTTACAAAATTCTTACAAGTTTACAAAACAACATTTTAACAACATCGTTTCAACTGGTACATCAAAAAATTTTACTATTGTGTACACATTTAAATTCACCAAGAGTCTAGATGTTTTGACTGCGAGGGAGGACACTTGCCGCCAAAACCGACGCTCTCTAAATAAAAATGATGTAACGGCCGGACCGTGAGCGGAATTAACACACAAAATAAACGAGTGAGACGTCCAGATGTTTAATTAACAAACAGTCGCAGAGACCAGGTGGTCCCGTGAGTCGTTAGTTACCCGGCTTCAAGTTTATGATCACTGACGGTCTTTAGATTTACATAATGTTTACACCACTTTAGTGGAACGTTCGGACCCGAGTGACTATGGTTTAGCTCAAGAAGTTTCTACTTTGTTGTAAAAGTATAAAGGGGGCAATAGGTATCAACTCATTATCATCATGTTTCTCTTTCCATATAATTTCTTTTAAATATATTGAACATGCTCACTAACTAAAAACTAGTTTTAATTGTTTAAAGATTCCAAACAATTACTTCTTTACAAAAAATTTACCATTAAAAAATTGATTTGAACTCATAGTGATTTGATCGATTGCTGATCGTAAGTATATGTTGTTTGAAAAATTATTGTAGACAATTTTCAACACTAAGTAACCAAGCTACAGCCGTTTTCGAATCTGGAACTTCATCTTAGAATATCTTAAACATAAGACATACTGGGAAACACAAGAACTGGAAACAATAAATGTTTAGTGAAATTAAATTAGAAGGGGGAGGGTGCAAGAACCGATAAAATTCCAATCAACAATATTCACTTAACACAAAACCACAATCACACTGATTTTTTATGTTATGTCCAAAATTCTTTTTAATCCAATGCTGGTCAGATTCCAGACCACTAAAAGTGAAAATATTTACTTTTTACCGTATAAAACTTCCAAAAATTTGATACTCAAAACATATTGTTTAGGAAGAATAATGCAATTCCCACCGACAACCCTGTAAAATACATATAAAGTAAAAATACCATTTGCAAGATGTCATTTACGTAAGTGACTTACAACTCAGTCTCAAGTTCCAAAAAAATGTTTCAACAAAATGTTATTTGTTCATACAGCAGTTAAAATGTATAATCTACTCCTTATAATGGTTGAGCAAAATATAATTTTGGTTGAATTTAAGAAACATATTCGTCTTATTATGTTATTTTTTGTATTTAGAAATGGATTGCAATTAAAAATTCTTCATACGAAAATGTAATGAACTGTAAGAGAAAATAAACTTAATTGCAGACTAAATTTTAACAAATTTTACCTGAGTATCTGGAGGTTCTGTCCTGACAAATGTTGGCACGGCCGACGCACGATGGTCCGAACATTTCTGCAACACAAACAAACTTGTCAATGTTGACATCAAACATGGCTTCTAGAGCAAACGCAGGCAGGTGAACAAACAGCTGTATTGTCACAAGGTAGCGAACGTGTACATCTTGGTCGTTCCTTAAACTGGGTTAACGTAGTGGACGTTCCGGTTGACTTGAACCAAACATAAGAAAACAACCTTTTTAACCAGTCTTATTTAATAATCCCCATGAAAGTCTTGGTTATCGAGGTTCTACTGTACTACTTTTCTACTTGATAACAATATATAAAATTAAAACCATCGACTTTGGATACAATTCTACTATTGACCTTTCAGTTTGCCAAGATGTAAAAGTTTGTGTGTAAAAAAGATTTCACTGAGTCAACGACTTAATTGAATCGAGTTATGTTCACTCTAAAACTGGCCTTACCAGGTAATTAAATGTCTCATTTTGTGAAGCGCAGATAAAGTCAAAGCTAAACCTTGAGGATATTTCCCGCTTTCAACCTTGGGAAAATAAATTGGTAATGAATGTCAACGAAATCTTTACAATCAGTAAACAGCTGATGGAGGATTTCAAGTCATTAAAAAGTAACAAACCATAATATATATAGGGTCACTTAGGCAGGGTGGGGCATGTCTAAAGACCACTAGTTCTGTTAGTCATTAAGACATATACTGGGAGACTAGGAGGAAGAAGAAGAGGCAGATTAGAAAAAATACAAGTGAATGAAGATGACATTCACAAGCTATGGGTAGGAAAAGGAAGATTGAGGAAGGAGAAAAGATGAGGAGAAGGGAAGAGGCAAATCTACAAGAACTGTAGCAACAAGCAGTGAGGAATAATGTAGCGGCAAGCAGTAGCGGCTGGCTTCTAAAAGGCCCCCGCCGCAGCAAACCTGCAGACTACGCGAATTTAAATTTGTCTGATTGGATTTTGCTAAAATATTTCCATAGAAGTCATATTTATTCGCTATTTAAATAACATTTGATTCAACAAAGACTTAAGGTTTGCTACTATGGGGAAGGGAAACAGTATTTTTTGATCAAATGTTAACTGTATAGGATGAAATACAAACATTCGCCAAATTCAATCAAAGTAATATAGCCTATCTATAAAAATGGAACTACAACAGTTTTCTTTTTATCTATGAGAATAACATGGGAATTTTAAATGTACAGTTTTTTGGAATTGTATCCATCCTTTAAATAACCAAAACCGTCCTTAAATTCTTCACAGGCTTGACTAACCAACAATAACAAATCCTGGAACCTCTCGAAAACACTGTTCTACAGCATATTGAAATCCGTAGTAACTGTTACTGCTACATTCACGAGGTCGTTAGGAGTGACAAGTTTTTTGCAACCTCAAATTAACAGGTTGTTGGCAGCTGTGGCGGAGCGAGATAAGAAACAGGTAGTGCGAGTGTATAAATAGACGATCCCACAACCGGCCAACATCCAACTCTGACATTTTACCATCAAGGTCTCAAAACTGGTTGTATCTTTAATGGTTGGTGACGCACTATTTTTAGTCTCCCTCCCCATTCATCCAGAGACGAGTTTTTGCATTTCGCATTTCTTGTGTGTCTGTGGATTGTTGCAAGTAGAGTTGTAGAGTTTGGAGAGTTGGAAGGAGAGTAGTGCTAAACTATTGCTTTCTACAATTACCATAGTCCGATCATGCTGGTTTGCAAACTCATTAGAATAGTTGTATGTTTACACGTTTGTACCAAATTTAATTTAAATCGAATGATTTTTACATGAGTTATTGTGCTAACAGACATATAGGCATTATAAAAGATGGTGTTTTTGGATTCTGGGTATATCAAAACGAAAAAAGTAAATCAGTCATAAGTCCAGGTCTACCTATGAGATATGGTAATAGCTAATTTCCTATGTAGGAAAATCGCTAAAAAGTGATTTTTAAAAGCACTATTTGTATTAACGAAATAAATATTTTGTTGTGGATTAAAAGGCTTTATCGCTTAGCCATCTTGAAAAGAGAGTTTGTAAGTGTAACATATTTAAGTTACGGACATTGACAGGCCATTTACTACAGAGCTTTCCTACTGATACTTTAGGCTATTAAAAATTTTGCTTTATCTATCTGAAGGAGCATTTCAGTCTTCAGTTTCAGCATTTCAGTTTTGCAAAATGAATATAGAAGGAAGTGTCAAAAAACATTTTGATGTGAAAAAAAGTTTACAATTACTGTAGCTACGAATGTAAACATTTATTTTCAAATCTTTTTGTTGCCATATAAAAACTTACTTTGGCTCCACTTCTATAATTCCATCGAATGTTTGCATAAAGAACATGTGTGTAGACAAAACTATAATTATTAGTAGTTATGAATTGACACACATTGTTTTATAGCCTTCTTAGTAAGAAACACACCCAGGTAAGCTTTGATACTACCATAGACAAAAAGAATTAAATATAGACCATCAGCTGTGCTGGGGTTACACCGCTGGGAGCGCCTTGTAATTACAGCCTACATGCTACGTTACTACACGGCGCTACCAGCGGTGTGCACCAGAACCTATGGGAACCATGGTAACCACTGCACAGCTGACAGTCTATATTTAATTATATTTGTCTATAATACTACACTAATTTATGTCTCCAAAATAAGTGTAGAATTCACAGTAAAATGGAGATCTTTAGTTACCTTTGGTTACACTAAGTGGTTTAACACATTTGTTGACATCATAATCAATTTGCCTTAAGGAAAAACAATTGTCTCTGTCATTTTCATTGAATGTCAAAAAGTTACTTGGAAACCATAATTTCTCAAAATCAAATAGAGCACAGATAAAATTCTCGATGAAATTATAATCAGGTATAGGATACAGCAAATTTTTCTCATTTGCATACAGTAGTGTTTAACATAGAATGCAACTAGGGTGGTCAATAATAAAAATGGTGAACAGAAAAGGGCCAAGAACAGACCCCTGGGGTACCCCCATCAAGGACCTCTCAAAATGGAGATGTCCCAGAATGTAAAGATGCCAACTGAAGAAAAAATTTTAAAAAATCCAATTTAATTTTTTTAGTCCATAACAAATGTATAATTGGATTTGTTTGGACCTTATCTTAAAACTGTCTAAATCCATAAATCATGTAAATGATTTTACTAAAAGTGAAGAATAAGATTTGAGTTAAAACCATTAAGATTCCACACACAAAGTCAATTTCCTTTAACATAGAAGCATTAAACAAATTACAGATGTACCAACAATGAAACCGGTTCAATGTTTGACACATGTAAGATGATCTCATAAACAAATTAGACGAGTCAAGCCCAGCTGGAGTAGAACACAGGTGTGTACTTAAAGCCAACGACAACACGAGCGGCCGAACTGGCGTTGGCTCAAACCGTCTTCTTCTCGGAACCATTTTGTATTCCGAGATCGTCAACATTATTCATACTGCTCTGTATCTTACTTTTAGACCACAGCACATCTGTTCACAACTGCAGTTACTTAAGCAACATTCCAAATATTGCATTATTTTCAGTATTATTATTTATGGTAAAACATTATTAAGAAGTATTATAGAAAAGATTTAAATACATATTATTTCTTACGTTGATTGACTACAAACAAAATTAAGATATTTACTAAAAAGTTATTGGTGCAAGATTAAAATTAACTGTTAAAAATGATAATGATGATATTATTTTTGAAATATTCAATGCCAGTAATAGTTATTAAATGTTTGGAGGGGAATGGTCCAAATCTCTCATTACTATGGCAACAGATTATTAAATTTTTGATGTATTCATTCCCAGAAATAGTTTTTACATATTTTAGAAAGGGAGGGTACAAGTCCTGGTCTTTGTTAACAATTAAATAGTTTGTTGTATTTTACCAGTGACAGTTTTACAGATTTTGGAAGAAGAAAGTTCTAAAACCTGGTCTTGTTAATATGGCAACTAAATGAATAGGTGAACCTAATTTCAGTCATAGTTGTTTTATGCATTTCAAAAAGAAAAATTCGAAACCTGGTCTTGTACTATGGCAACTAAATATAAAGGTGTACCTAATTTCAGTCATAGTTGTTTTACGCATTTCAAAAAGAAAAAAACCAAAACCTGGTCTTGTTACTATGGCAACTAAATGTATAGGTGTACCTAATTTCAGTCATAGTTGTTTTTCACATTTCAGAAGGAATAACTCCAAAACGTGGACTTGTTACCATGGCAACTAAATATTTAGGTGTACTTAACTTCAATGTCAGTTTTACTCATTTCGGAAAGAAAAAGTCCAAAAACTGGGCTTGTTACTTTAGTAATATATTGATTTTCGTTCTGGATGAAAACAACAGCATATGGATTTGAAATTAGGCATCTAATTTTACTCCAAAAGATAATTTGCACAGTTTGTAAATTAACTACATCCCAAAATCAAATGAATACATTTATTTTTAATATTCATTGCTTATATTGATTTGTTGCTAGTTGTTATTTGTGATGTTTTATTCTGTTACATCTGTTAGCCTAAAAATTAAATTGTACGCTTTCCTTTTATACTGCACATTACTGTAGGCTATTTCTTTTATTCTTTGACGTTTTCTATAGCGATGTAATGTTGACAAACGACAATAAATGGATTCTTGTTCTTACATTAAAACAAATCAAGCTGTAGAAATAAAACTTTGAAACAACAACATGTAAAAATAACAAAGAAACGTATTATACCTACTTAACAAAACTACAGGACCAGATAGGTATAAAAAATGACCTTGAGAGTAGACATTCTATTATCAACAGTTACACCGATTATATAACTTATACAGCCTTGTATGGTGTACTAAACACTCATTCGTCATTGTTATAAACACTCATGGTAATTAAAGTTGACAATATTACAAACACTAAAGAATTAATTTAGTAAATTGCAAGGGGTTTTAAACATACAAAATTACCATATTGTAGTGACTAGGAGAAACAAATACAGGGTGTCCCACAAAGAGGTTTTATTTTATTCTTCTTGCCCACTTATACACAGACC